GTGGCTTTCTCTGGCCTGGCCCTGCTGCCACTTCGAACGTGTCGTGAGAGACGAGACACCCCCGCCTAGGGTTTTCCCTGTTCTCCTATTTCTCCTCACCTTTTATTTCCAGGGAGAGACTGGAGTGGCGAACAGTCTTTCTCACTCCCTCCCCTCCCCCCCACGAAAATCGTCAATGGAGAGCACAGCGTGTGGTGAGGATATGAAGTGGTTAGTGCTGATGCACGTCTCCAGGCCCTGTTTGTGTTTTTGGTTTAAATCTCTCCCTGATTTAAAGTGAGGTTAAAATTAGCGAGGGGATAAGCCCTGTAGACTGAACCTTTCTTTCCATGGAACACACGTGGCGTGCCCAACACAATATATAAGTTTTCCATGCTCGTCTTTCCGGTATGCATCCTCTTTTGGAGCAGTGTCTTCTAATTTGGTTTTCATTTTCATTCAGTCCAGGCCTGTGTGCTGAACTTAGCAAAAGGGTTGGGTGACCATTCTGGTGAAGGGCCTTGTGTTGCAAAAATTGTCCATTTGGAAGTGGATTGGAATCAACAATTAACTTTTAGTCTGTTTGCCTGTTTATGGAAAAATCCAAAGATTTTTATGTCAGCAATCCATCTCCTGGCTCTGAAAATTGATACTCTATACACATTGTGCCAACTTGATATTTAATGTTTGATTCTGGAATTGTGTTAAATATGTCAGTTATGTAAATTGTGGGTATCTCCCCAAAACATAGTTTAAAAAAAAGTCTGCATAGCAATAGAGAAAGTAAACATTTTCTTAACTTCTGTGCAATTTGTAGGATTAGTAAATATTATTAAAGTATTTAAGCAAATACCAGAGGAAAATTCTTAAAGTTTTCTTTCTTTCTAAATGGACTAAGAAAATGTAAAATATTAAACTTCTGCATATTGCAAAGCAACCCCTGTCCAGAAGAGGTCCCAGTGGAGAGCTGGGAATCTCCTGGGGCCAGGGGCTGCTGTCGGAGCAGCCTATGTTCACACCCACCCCTGGCCACTGCAGATGGGGCTGCTGCTGCGACAGCCTGGGCTGGCTGCGAACAGAGGCTGCTCCAGTAGCAGCCCTTGGCTGTACAGGGGTCCCAGCTCCCCATGAGGATCCCTTGTGGACAGCGGCTGCTGGACCTGACGAGAGCTGGGACTGAGCAAGCCCAGTTCAGTCCCGGCTTGCGCTGGGTCCAGGAGCTACCGATGCTGTAGCTCTGCATTTTAAATTTAGTAAGAGCCATCCAGCTCAACCTCAGAATCTGCTTCTTGACCTCAGCCTTTCTCCCCCAAGCAACAGGGAACCCATGTTGCTGCTTGAGCCTTGCAGTTGGTGCACAGCCATGAGGCTGTAGCACCAGCTTTGGCTTCTAGCTGTGGGAGGAGAGGAATGAAGAAAGCAGACTCACCCCCCCATCCTGCCAGTGTGGGCTGCAGAGTTACAGATGGAGGAGTGCCACCCCGTTCCCCTCCATGGGAAAGTCTCACCCGCTGCTGGGTGTCCAAGCTCATGGTTGCCATGGTAACAGTGCTTCTCTTGGTTGCTCCCATAGGGCAGGCAGCAGGTTGGGCTACGTCGGGCTCGGCAGGGCAGGCTTATGTGGTGTGCGAGCAGCTGGCGCCCTCCTCTTTCCCCAGCAGCAGGTTAGGTTGTGCTGCTCCTGGTGGTGGTGGGAAGAGGCGGAACTGGGTCTGAGGATCCCGCATGTGCAGGACGCAGGTTGGGGCTCGTGGCCCTTTGAGGTTTTGCACCTGCAGGGACTTGGTCTGTGGGGAGGGGTTGAGCTGCCTCTGCCCTGCCCCCCAAAGGCGCCCTGGACTGGACCCCGTGGGACCCTGTCCTCAGCAGCGCTGGACACCCCCAGGTCACTTTGCCCCTCACCTTTATTCCCAGACATTCCATGCCCCCATCTCTCTGGTCCTGGTCAGACACCTTCCCCTAAGCTCCCTCCTGGCCAGATACCCTACCTCCAGTCTGCTCCTGGACCCTCCCTTGCTCTGCTGCCTCCCCCGGCCAGATACCCTACTCCCAGCCTGCTTCTACCCTAGGGATGTAAGTGACTAGTTGCTTATCCTGCTGATAGAGGCAGCAAGGGACAGGGAGCAGGAGCTGGTGCTGGGGGGAGCCAGCTTAGAAGCCGGTTCCCGCCAGCACCATCTCCAGCAGGGCTCTTGTACATTTCAAAAGCATAAGCCTGGCAGGGAGCATAGAGCCAGCAAGGACTCCAGCTGGGCTCTTGCTACAGTTCAAAGGCAGAGGAGCCCTTATAGACTGATCAAATAGTTGATGGATATCCCATCGACTATTCAGTTAGTTAATCTAAATTTAATGTCCCTATTCTGCACCCCAGATCCTGTACCCTATATCTATCCCCCTCACTAGCAGCTCTATCCTGCACACTGAACCCTTCATTTTTGTCCCCACTCCAGATACTAAGGGGGAGGTCCACAAAATCCACCAACTCTGGAACCCCGGAAAAGAAAATCTTGCCTATAGGCAGCCTTGAATCTCAGTCCTCCCTGTGCCTTTCCCTTACCCCGTGAGGCTTGAGTGCCAGAGGAGTGGGGTGTCTCAGTTGGGGGCCATATCAGAGAGTTGGACGTTTTGGGAGTTTTATTGCTTCTCATTTGTGTGGTCCCCAGCTGATTTTTCTGTGGGCCAATGGCCCTCACTACAAAAAAGATTCCCCACACCTGTCATAAATAAAGAAAACATTTAAGCCTTTTTTTGCACATAAATTAATATTTTACTTTCTTTAAAATGAAGTTTAATAAACTAACATGAGAAAGTTAAAACGCTTAATCTGTTTAATAATTTAAATTAAACCATTCTCCCTAACTGCAGCACTAGCAAAATGGCTTGGGCATAATTATGCAATTAACAGTGAGTTTCCATAGCAATTGATCTGCAGAAAGGTTTATTACATTGAGCCAGGTGGTCCATGGGCCAAAAAGTTTGAGAACCACTGGTATAAACTGATCAGTTTAGGAATTTAGGGCTCTAAGTATGAAAGATTTGTCTTACTACTTATTTAACTATGAAATTTGATCTAACATTAACAGAAAATATTAAAATTGTAACAAACACATTGACATTGAAAGGGTCATTTCTTTTCTATATTACTAATTTATTGTTAAATCTGATTATGGTGTTCATTGCCTGGCTTTGTGAATAAGCAAACACTAAAATAAATAAATTACTGCTGGGCAGCATAATATCATATCCAATATCTAAATATTTTAAAGGAAGGCAAATATATGTTGTTTAGGGTGAAATTGTATCTCCATTGAAAACAGTGGCAAAACTCCTATTGACTTCAGTTGCATTAGTACTTCACCCTTGAATATTGATAACATGATCTGCTGATTTTTTTTGACCCATAACTATTGTTGTGTTGTGAACCATTTCTATGATCCATATTATTTATAATCTTAAAATGTTTTTTGTTTGTTGCAGAAAATTTTAATGTGTTGTGAATCATGTTATAAAATGGAAGTGCTCTGACCATGTGATAATATGCTTTTCTTATCTGAAGTCCAGATTTGAACTGTTTTACCAAACAATATTGCACTTCTCATCTTTTTGGGACTTCTAACATGGTTCAATTTCAGCTGCTCAGGCATGACCAATTTGGGTTATGAAAATATAAAATTCCAAAAATGTAAGTGTGTAAATTTAAAAAAATGCCTAAGTTGCAATTTTCCTGTTATCACATTTCAAATGGAGTTTTACATTCTTCAGCAGGGTTTTAGTGTGGTTGTATGATATATAACCATATTGGACACAATTCATGTTATGTTTATGTAATGAGTTTTGGAAGTACTTCAAACATAAGTCTAATGGTCCCATGTGTAGTTTGGCAATTTTCTGAAATTTTTCGACTGTTGCTAACTTTAATTCGGCTAAATCTGTGTTAGGGATCTTGATAGCGCTTGTGAGGAGAGCCTGCCAGTTGCCATTATAGTTTTAAGCACCATATGAATTAAACTACAGGAAATGGTTTTAGCAACTATGGGAAACTTTTATAAGTTGGGGGTAACATTTTCAAAAGCACCTAAGTTCAATTTTTAAAAGTGACTTAGATATTTAGGACCATGAGGCCCACTGACTTTCCATAAGATTTCGGTTCCTAATTCCTTAAGTTTGCTTTTGAAAACCTGACTGAAGGCTTTTAAGTCACTTAGGCATGTTTGGAAATTTTCCCACTAGGATCAGTGTGTATTTTGCCAAAACTTGTTAGGGAACCCTGGTGTGTGCAGGGATGAACTGTCCTTGAAAGACAAATTAAGTTTCATAGCATAGCTTCTTAAGCTGTGTATGTGCCAACATATTAGAGTGACAGAAAATTTCAAGTAAACAGTGTAGTTCTTAAGTTGTGTAGCAGTTTGGAGCTCTTGTGTAGATCAGTTATGAGAGGCAATTACTGTATTGGAGGTAGCGGTGCGGGTTGGTGTAGGCAAGCTGGTCCACCAGGGAGCCAGTTTAAAAACCAGCTCTCTGCACAAGCCAGCTTCCTTTTTGCCCTGTGCTGCTGTCTCTGATACAGAGGCAGGAGCCTCTGTCTTCGCTTGTCCGAGCTTCCTGCGGACAGAGGATGCTCTGTGGGATGTAGGTGCAACCTCTGTCGCTGGGGAGCTCAGACCCCTTGTGAACAGGGGCGGCTGCAGCAGCCCAGCCTCTGTTTGCTGCAGGCCCATGGATCCCTGCTGACAGAGGCTGCTTTGTGGGATACTGAAGCAGCTTCAGTCTGCAGGGAGTTTGGGCCCATTGTGAACAGGTGCAGGCTTGCCACGGGGAGAGGCTGCTTTGCAGCAGCTTCCCCTGCCACCCCAGGATTCTGGATCTGATAGTGGCAGCAGTTGGGGGGAGGTGGCACCAGGAAGCTGGTGGGGGTGGAACTGGCTTTTAAGCCAGCTCTGCCGAGCACCAGCTCCTGCCTGTCTGCCCTCACTGCCTCTGTATCAGAGGAAGCAAGGGAGGGGGGAATGTGTGTAGTCAACAAGATTAACCAATAAGCACAGGTTTCAGTTAATTGTGTAGTGGACTACACGTTGACATTAATACTTAAAATGCCACTCCACTTATTGCTGCCACCAGATTTTGAAGAAAAACTGTCAACAATGCCTTATATTGACAGATACACCAATGATAAAGAACAGATTCAATTCTCAATTTTTATTTACTTATCAAATTTTTAATGTTTCAGTTTACAGCAGACACAAGCCTTATTTTCAAAGATGTGTTTAATTTTGAATGTCTAAAAGAAAGCTCGCCCCTCCCCCCACCACTGCTATTCTCATTACAGATCAATTTGCTTAGATGAAGGAAATGTGAAGTCTAAATGTTTAATTTTTATTGAAAATGTGAAAAAGTTCATTTTGTTATCTTCTGAGAAAATTGGCTGTAGTACTTGCATAGCAAATATAATTACATATAAGTTTGCAAATGTGTGTATATTGGAAGAATTGAAAAATGCTTTCGAAAAATAATTGCATCTGAAACTTAAATCAGCATTATAATTATAACTGTATTATTGGTGTTTGCATTAGACTGAGGATATCAGCAATATAAATGAAATTTGTAGCAATTTCCCTTGTCTTTGAATTGTCCAGTTTTCTTCTCCCTCATTCTACCTATTAGTCTACCCCATGTTTATTGCTATTTATCTTTGTGGTACAGTCAGATTTTTTTTGTAGCTCTTGTGCTTAAAAGGGGGAGGGGCTCTGCATACCTATGAAAATGTATTGCTATATGGCAAGATATTTATTTAAAGGGATAGAAAATGCCATAGCTTTTATTTTTTGTTTTCTCTCTTTTAGTACAAACTGTGTGAAAATAGTGGGCCTTTAAGGCTTCTTTACATTGTGTTAAGATGGAGGAATCTCCTTCAATATCTTTTCTCCCACTTTTTAAAAAATCTGGTTACAAACATGACAAGCAAGTTTAATAGTATCTGACACACAGAAAGCAAAGTTTTATGGGACAGGTAAATGAAGATTTACTAAAATAATCCTTTGTCTATCTTTGTTAAATGTTCTACATGTTAAAAAACAGCACTTGTAATGTTAACTGTTTTTGAAACACTAGATAATAATTGTGCTAGGGGATTTGCTTTAGCGTTATTGAGTCTTAAGGTTCGTTTCCAGTTTGAGGCTCTCATTTTCACAGGACGGCAGATGTTTTGGAGATTCAAAGATGTCAGTGGAATTTTAGCAGTTACTATTTGAAGACAGGGTTATTTTTTATGTATTGTAGGAATATTTTCTACATCATCTTCATCCATCCTACTCTTCAGATAAAGTAAATTCAGAATTCGAAGGGGGATACTTTTTTCCAAGTGCTTTCGGTTATTTAACGATCACAGTGGAATGGACGGATGAAAATCTTGAATGTAATCACTGTGCTAAACTGTAAGCACGTTTCCCCCTCTTTTCTCTGAATCTGTTTGCAGGCAGCAGTTCAAATCAGCAAATGCTCCTTTGAACTTGGTGCTTTTGTGTGTCCCTCGTCTTTCTGCTGGTCTCTTCCTTGGTGTTTTCACTCTTGTTTCGTTGTCTTCCAATTTTCTTTAGAAGAGAATTATGAAGAAGTATTTCAAGTCATCCTGTAGTTACCCATTTCATTGCTCCTTTTAACTCCAAAGACCCTGCATTGTGATACTTGGGTATTAAGTGAACCAAGGAGAGTGAGCCTCTTGCTTCCATAGACCCTACTAACATTGCTCCTTCTGACTCTGTATTTTAATGGGGAGAGGACTTAGGTTGTTTCTGTTTTCTGCTCCTTTCCTTTTGAGATGTTGGTGATGGTGGGAGTAAGGAGCTTGGGACATCTTTCTTAGGAATGTTAGCATGTACTCGTTTACATGATTAATTGATAAGCCTGGGCTCATGGCTAACACACATCCCCCAACCCTTGCTGCCCCTGTATCAGCTGGCTCCCACCTGCCCTCTGCATGTAAATATGTGACTGCTAAAAAAATTTAGCGGTTACATGTTTACACAAATACAGGTCCTCCCACCTTAGTGCTCTTTCTCAAATGTTTGTCATAGTAGTTTTCCTTAGTAGGAGGAGCAGATGAGGGAAAATAAAGTGACTTCAGTTCTAATTCTGTTGGTGGGGACATGTTATATGCAGGAACAACAGAGGCAGAGGTACAATGTCCCACGACTATAAGTGTTGAGATAGTGATGGACAGTTTGTTTTCTTTTTCAAGTGTCATGGGGGGGATCATTCCTGTTCTTCCTTTGGCCACCTGAATGTAGCCTGTCCCCCATCATGAATAGTGGAAGGAAACTTTTATTTGGATAATTGTCATTTTTACTCAGCCGCTGCTACTCATGTTGATGGAAATTTTAGTACGCTTGTGGGATTAACCTGTATTTCATGAAGCATACACTTCTGAGATCAGTGCTGCTGTGCCTGAAGATTGCCAGCAGGATCCAACAGTGGGGAAATAGCACTAATGTTTTTGGACATGGCTGCAGGCATCCACTAATCCTCTGTCACATTTGAACCTGAGGTAGGCAAATGGATGGTTGCATTTTTTCCATGCTGTGCTATCAGGAATGGGGATTGTGAGCTGCATACAGAATCTCCTCTAGTAATTTTCAGTTACAATGTCAGCTGTCATGATATGAGCTTAGCGGAGTGGCACGAACATTCTCACTATGACTCCACCAGATTCACAATCCATTGGGTAAATTTCACAAAGGATTGAAAAATATCTCAAATTTAAATATTTAAAACTGTGTTGTTGTGGGAGTCCCAACCCAAAAGAGGGTAATGGGGGTGTTGCAAGGCTGTACAGTGTTGCTGCTGCAGAACTCTAACTTCAGAGTAAGGCAGCCAGGAAACTGGCTGCTGGCCAGATGCCCAACTCTGAAGGTAGCACCCCCACCAGCAGCAGCGAGAAGGAAAAGTGACAGTACTGCAACCCCCTATGGTAGATTTCAGCTGGGAGACCAGATCATGGTCCATGATACATTTTTCACAGTCACGAATTTGGTAAGGCCCTAATTATGACCACTACCTTAAACTGAGATTTAACAAAAGAGCTGTCAGCCATTTTTGTGTCGTCTTAATACTTTAAAATTATTAACTGATTATATTTAAGTTTTGTATAGAAATAATTCTCAAAAATAAGTGGATTTTTCAATTTATCAGCACTGTAACTTAAAATATGCTTGTTTTAAAGTGATTTATGCCAACCCATTTAGTTCTGAAATTAAATACAGAATACTAATATGTAATGACTGTTGAAGGAAATTCAGAGTTAAGGACAATTATATTACATCAAAGTTAATGGCTTGGCTTGGCTTAAACTGGAAAAGGCAGACATTTCAGTTTTCCCATTTAAATAAATATTAGATATTGAATATGATCTTTTTTTGAATAGGCATCTTCCCAAATCCCTCTAACCTGATATCCCATCATCCTCTTACTTTTTAAAATTTCCTATTCCCATTAGGAATGTCAAAGATACCCAGTTACCTGCTATGCATTAAGATTACCAGACTACTTACCAGGTAACTGGTTGGATGGCCAACGATGGCAGGCTGGAGCAGCCCAGGCTGAGTCCAGGAGGCTATGTGGTGGTGGCAAGCAAAGCCATGCCTGCACAGGGTTGGCAGGATCCTGGCTACTCTGGTTCAGCCTGGGCAGCCCTATGGGGCCCCAGCAAGGCAACCTGGTGTGGATACAGCCACTGCTGTGGGGCCTGGGTGGGCACATGGAAACCCAGACTTAGCTGCCTGCCATCGGTTAACCAGTTAAACATTATGGCTGTGTCTAGACTGGCAAGTTTTTCCGCAAAATCAAATGATTTTGCTTGTCAGCTGTCTACACTGGCCGTTTGGAATTTCCGCAAGAACACTGACGATCTCATGTAAGATTGTCAGTGTTCTTGCGGAAATACTGTGCTGCTCCCGTTCGGGCAAAAGCCCTCTTGCACAAATCATTTGCACAAGAGGGCCAGTGTAAACAGCACAGTACTGTTTTCCGCAAAAAAGCCCCGATTGCGAAAATAGCGACTGGAGCTTTTTTGCGGCAAACCACGTCTAGATTGGCCACGGACGCTTTTCTGCAAAAAGTGCTTTTGCGGAAAAGCATCCTGCCAATCTAGATGTGCTTTTCTGAAAATGCTTTTAACGGAAAACTTTTCCGTTAAAAGTATTTTCGGAAAATCATGCCAGTGTAGACGTAGCCTATAATTTTAGTTGTTTAACCAGTTAACTATTTAAACAGTTATTTATATCCCAAGGTTTAGGGCTTACATCCAGAGCTGGATTAACTCTTTTGGGGGCCCGGTGCTAGTGGATTTTGTGGAAGCCCATTAGGCTAAGGAATAAGGCCAAAAATGAAGGGTCCAATATGTGGGGGTGCACTGCCAGGAGAGCAGGCTGGGAGTGAAGATTTGGAGTCTGGGTGGGAGGTAGAATTCTGGAACAGACTGGGGGTGAGGGTGCAGGAGTGGGGTAGGGAGCAGGCTCTGGGCAAGAGGGGGGAGAGGATTGAGGCATCTACCTGGCACAGTTCTGGGGGACACAGATGTCTCCACACAGCTCTGCACACTGCAGAGAAGTGCTCTCTATAGGTATCCCCCCCCACCACCCTCCGCCACATGCGGGGGGGCGGGGGATGCTTATAGAGCCGCAGCCTCTTCCTCCCTGCTGCCAGGCAGTGCAGCCCATAGTTTGCTTAGATTGGGCCAGCGAGGCTTCTGACTTGCCCCCCACAGTGCCAGCCTGCTTGCATTGCTGCGGAGGAGGGCAAAGTCCAAGCTGTGGGCGGTAGATTTTCTACCCCTGCCTTATGGGGGTCACTGTGGAAAGAAACATACAATGTGATTAGCTTTTGAAGACGTTACGTTGTTATCTGACGATAGATTGATCTAAAATTTATTAGAATATGTACAGTATTTCATTTGCATATTCATCTGCTTCTAACACCAGAAATTTGAAATAAGTGTATCTTGCACTTGATATCAAGAAACTTTTTCTGGTTTCATTTTTGTTTGTTAAATTGATTTTTCAAGGTTGTAAAACAAGATGCATGATTAAAAATGGATGTTTTCTGCAAAGGGAAGGCCACATAAGCATTTTTGTTGTAGATTTGTTTTCATTTATACTAATTTATTAAATATTAATGTTAGGCTCATCTGGTCTGGAAAAGCTTAAATTCCATAATCTCTTAGAAATAACACTTTCTGCTTTGATTATTCTTTTCAGGTGATTCATGGCAGGGGACGTGGAAGGGTTTAGCTCCTCCATCCATGATACCAGTGTCTCTGCTGGGTTCAGAGCACTGTATGAGGAAGGATTGCTTCTTGACGTCACGCTTGTCATTGAAGACCACCAGTTTCAGGCCCATAAAGCGCTGCTTGCCACCCAGAGTGATTACTTCAGGATTATGTTCACAGCCGACATGAGGGAGCGGGATCAAGATAAAATACATTTGAAAGGTCTGACTGCTACCGGCTTCAGCCATGTCCTCCAGTTCATGTACTATGGAACCATTGAACTGAGCATGAACACTGTTCACGAGATTCTGCAGGCTGCCATGTATGTTCAGCTTATAGAGGTGGTGAAGTTCTGCTGCTCTTTCCTTTTAGCAAAAGTCTGCTTAGAAAACTGTGCAGAAATTATGAGACTCTTAGATGATTTTGGTGTAAACATCGATGGCGTCAGGGAAAAGTTGGATTCCTTTTTGCTAGAGAATTTCGTGCCACTCATGTCCAGACCTGACTTCTTGTCCTATCTGAGCTTTGAAAAGCTTATGTCTTATTTGGATAATGATCATCTGAGCAGGTTTCCAGAGATAGAGCTGTACGAGGCTGTTCAGGCTTGGCTGCGGCATGATAGAAGACGCTGGAGACATACCGACACCATCATTCAGAACATCAGGTTTTGTTTGATGACACCATCCAGTGTTTTTGAGAAGGTTGGTGCATTTGAAAGCAATAGGCAGGATTCATCATTTAGCTAGGGCAGCATGCCGTTAAATAGGTAAGAGTCCCAATCCTGTTAGGAGGGGGAAAAGACACAGAGCATTGATTTCTACTCCTCCCCTCCCGTCCCCCCCCCCCCCCCCCCCCACC